CAGAGCATGAACGGGGGAGGGGCAGAGAGAGAGGGAGACACAGAATCGGAAACAGGCTCCAGGCTCTGAGCCATCAGCCCAGAGCCCGACGCGGGGCTCGAACTCACGGACCGTGAGATCGTGACCTGGCTGAAGTCGGACGCTTAACCGACTGCGCCACCCAGGCGCCCCTATAAAGGCCTTTTAAAGGATCGATGGGGCCCTGCGCCTCCAGCCCCATCTAGAGACACTGCAGATAGTGAGATCTGCCACCCACACATGGGCCCCAGCCAGGCCCGATGAAGGTGTGAGAATAGTCCGGCCCGAGACCAATGCAGGGCTCAAGAGAAACCTGGTGGTGTTAGGACAAAGTATGGGCCAAGGAATTAGATAGACCTGGACCTGGACCTGGGTCGACTGCTGCCTCTGGCCATGTAGCAGCCACTTAACTCTCTGTGCCTCAGTTTCTTCATCTGTAAGAAATGATGATAGTGTCTGCCTCATGGGGTTCTAAGGGTTAAGTGAGGTAATGCAGGTTAGGTGCCCGCCACTTTCAGAAGTCTCTAAAGCTATAACCTTGGTAGGATGGTCGTGGATTGTCATGAAGGAGGGTTTAGGGGAAAGGTGGAGAGCTGCCCAGGTTGTGGAAACACGATTGGACCAAGGGGTGGGCTGGGCTGCTCTGACCCTCACCCCTTAGCTGGGCCTGTGGGTCCTGTGTACCTGGTCTGTACCGTAGTGAGAGGGCAGACAGAGTGGAGGGCGCCCCCAAAACCTCGGTGCTCTGCCCGCCAGATGGAAGCCATTGGGAAGCTCTCGGACGACATGCGGCGGCACTTCCGCATGAAGCTTCGGAACCTGTTCACCAAGTTCATCCGCAAGTTTGGGTCTGTGCTCTGGATTGAGGGGGAGCAGGGGAGGAGTTGAGGGGCTTCCCATCCCAGCAGGGAGCCTGCAGAGAAGGGGCTGGGCTGGGGGACTGAGTCCCTTTCCCGTGGCTGGAAGGGCTGTGGCTGAACCCTCCTCTGGGTAGCACTCTCTGGCCAGTGCGCCTCACCAGCCCCTCATCCCTCAGGTTTGAGCTGGTAAAGGGGCTGCTGCCCGAGGAGTACCACAAAGTCCTGGTAAACATTCGGAAAGCCGAGGCCCGAGCCAAGAGGCACCGTGCTCTGAACCAGGCTGCTGTGGAAGAGGAGGAGGAGGAAGGAGAGGAACCTGCCCAGGGCAAAGGTGACAGGTGAGGCCTGTGGTGGGGTCCTGGGGACCTGGTCTCCCTCGACCCACAGCCTGCCCAGATCATGCCCAGCCACCCCTGCCTCTCCTGGGAACACCCTGACTTGGGACTTCTCTGTACTTAGCATCGAGGAGATTTTGGCCGACTCGGAGGATGAGGATGCCGAGGAGGAGGAGGAAAGGGGCCAGGCCAAGGAGCGCCGGAAGCTGGCCCGACAGAGAAGCCAGGCGTGGCTGAAGGAGGGTGGTGGGGATGAGCCCCTCAACTTCCTGGACCCTAAGGTGGCCCAGCGAGTCCTAGGTAGGCAAAAAGTGGCTGGCACATGAGTCGAGAAAATACGCTTGCCTTGCCAAGGTCAGGGGTTAGGGTGATTTCCACAGAGCCCACTGGGCACCTCTCACTGCCATGTGTGCACATCAGTGCGCTGCAGACACCCTTCTGGGACACAGACCTGGGCTTGTTGGTTTGGATGGGGCTGTGGGTGGGTTAGACTGGCCTTCCGCCTCCTCACTGCTCGACTCTGCCACACCAGCTACCCAGCCTGGGCCCGGCCGGGGCAAGAAGAAGGACCACGGCTTCAAGGTGAGTGCCGATGGCCGCCTGATCATCCGGGAGGAGGAGGACGATGCTGCCACGACCAAGATGGAGGAAGAGGAAGGCACTAAAGGTGGGACCACCATCCATTCTAGGGGCACAGCTGCTTCTGGAGTGGGCAGTGTTGCACTCACTCGGTCGTTCATTCACTCATTTGTTTATTTGCTCATTCATTCCGTGACCACTGGTTGGGGAAGTGTAGATAAATAAGATAATGAGGGGCTTGTATCTAAGACAACTTCCTCAAACGTTTTGAGTTTCTCAAACTTTTTTGACCACATTGAGAAAGTTTTACTTTGCAATCTAGCCACCTATACAATACATACATAATTCAAACAGAACTTTCAAAACACTGTACTTCCTCTTGACTGTGTGTGATGCACTTTTTTGGCCACTGTTCTGTATCTTTTCTTCTCCCTCTTCTCCTTTTCTTTTTTTTTCTTTCTTTCTTTTTTTTTTTTTTAATATAAACTTCGCTGAGACCATGAAGCTCATTTAGAGGTAGAGCCAGACTTAAGAGGTTTAGGGGTGGCAGCCCCCTTCCTGACTGCATGATCTCCTGTTGTCCAGGGGCCACTGTGGTGTGAAGTCTCTGAGTCCTGTTTAATTTTTCCTGCTTCCTCTCCCCCATGTCATCCGTTAGATCAAAAAGCTTCAGTCTTTAAAATTGATCTGCCTTCCTCTTTTTTTTTTTTTTTTTTTTTTGGTTCCCACTGCCATGATCCTTGGGCCCTTGACTCACTGCAACCTCCTAACCAATATTCTCACTGCATCCCCTGCACCCAGCTTACCGGCTGTGTGACTGTGGACAATTATTAACCTCTCTGTGCCTTAATTTCCTCACACCAAAATGGGCTTAATACCAATACCTACTTCAGATGGTTGTAGAGGAAATGGGTAGCCAGAGCAGCCAAGTACATGCTTGGTGTAACGGTGACTACACTGTTTCCTGATCTGGTCACACCACTGTCCCCTCTCGCCACTTTGTACTTTCCAGGCTCTTGCTCCCTTCTTGGCCCGTATGTCCTTGGTGCTGAGAACACCTCTCCCCCTCTTTCTGCCTCTCCACTTTTTTTTTTTTTTCCTTAACGTTTATTTATTTTTGAAAGAGCACAAGTGGGGGAGGGGCAGAGAGAGAGAGGGAGACACAGAATCCAAAAGACTCCAGGCTCTGAGCTGTCAGCACAGAGCCCAACGTGGGGCTTGAAGCTCATGAACTGTGAGATTACAATCTGAGCCGAAGTCGGATACTTAACCGACTAAGCCACCCCATCTGCCTCTCTGCTCTAAGGATCCAGCCCAAGGGTTTTTATGTGGCCTTTCCTTGGCCCCCAGCTTTCC